AGTTAGTTCTCAGTGTGGAGTTACAATCCACTCCACAGCCTGCATATTATTCTCATGCACCAGCCACATGTCTTCCAACTGCAGAGGAGTCATTTCAAACTTGTGTGGTGCAGTGTTTAAGAGTGCAGACTCTACTGTTAGCCAGGCTGAATTTGAAACCTGAAACCACTTTTTATTATCTGTGAGGCCATGAAAAGTTACTTAACTTTTTTGTGCTTCAGTTTCTTCATCTAATAATTAGAAATAATAATAGCGCCTAACTCAATGGTTAATTTTGAGGATTAAATGATGCAATGCACGTGAAGTACACAGAACTGTGCCTGCCACACTGTGACTGTCCTTGTTACATAAATTGAAAATGCTCCGTGAGTGGTCTCCTTCAAAGAGTTACTGCTTGTGGCTCAAGGTAGCATCCCCAGTCTTCCTCCAAATGGTAGAAAGGGAACACAGCCCGGGATTACTGTGTGCCAATGAAATATCTTCAGCAATATTTTCTCTGTCTCTGCAACTTGTTGCCTCTTTAAATACAAGGTGGGCTGAATGGTTCCAGAGTTGTGGAACTGGGTCCTACGATTTCCTTAGAAAAGCTGCATATACAGATTTATCACATATTGACTTTATATCTGATAATCTATCTTTTTTAGAATCTCAGTCAAAACTAAGACGGGAAGAGTCCAACCCTAACCACCTGTTACGTCTATGTAATACTCCTTGGATCTGTCTTCCTTGACATTTTGTTTATTATATCCATTTCATTTTTCCACTCAGCTCTTAAATGATTTCTCACACATGTCTCTTGCTTTTATAATTCAGCTCTCTTCCTGAAGAATTCAATCTGTCACTTACTGTCTTCATTGTACTTTTTGAATTATATTTTAATTTTTCTATTAGTATTTTGCTATATCTCTGTAATTTAATGGTTGCTTTATAGCCACAAAGCTTTACTTAAATTTAATATTGTACCATTTCATGTGAAATGTAGAAACACTGAGCTGTACTGGTCCATTCACCAACCTCCCCATCCTCTGTGCTAGAACTGTCATCTGTATTACATTGAGGTATAGTGAAACATCACAGTTCACTGCCCATCTTTAGTCTGAAGAACTACTTGCAGCATTGCTTGCAACGCAGGTATGCTGATAATGTTATCTTACTTTCCTTTAATCTGGAAGTGTCTTTATTTTCACTCTTGAGGGACACTTTTGCTGCATACAGGATCTGGTTCACAGTAACTGCCTGCTGGGCTCCACTGTTTCCAATGAGAAGTCTTCAGTCATTCAAATCTTTATTCTCTTGTATGCAATATGTAATTTTCCTGTACCTGCTTTGACTGTTTTCTTTTTATAAGTTTGACATTATATTTAAGTGTAGTTTTCTGGTTCTTTTTTCCATACTTTGGAATTGCTGAGCTTCCTGAATCTGTAAATGTAAATCTCTGACTGAATTTTGGAAATTTTCCACCATTACTTCTTCAGATTTTTTTTTCCACCCAATTGTCTCCATCCTTTCCTTCTCTGACTGCAACTGCATGTATATTTGACCTTGTGATGTTGTTTCCCAGGCCCCTGAGACTCATAACTTTTTCCATATAATTTTTAATGTCTTTTTCCCCCATGTTCTTCAACTTATTGGATAATTTCCAGCTTATTGGATAATACATTAAAGTTTCCAAGTCCTTATTTTCTCAGTTCTATCTACTATTAAGCCTATCCATCAAATTTTATACTTCAGAAATTATAGTTTTCATTTATAGAATTTCCATTTCATTTTTTATTATACTTTCTATTTTGCTTTTGAGATTTTTCTGTTGTTTCATTCATTGTTAAGTGTAATTTTCCTTTACATCCTTCAGCATGGTTATAATAAACTCTTTAAAATTCTTTTCTGCTGGTCTGAACATCTTGGTTTCCTCATGGTTTGTCTCTATTAATTGCCTACGTATAAGTTACATTTTCTTATTTTCTCACATGCCCAGTAATTTTTTATTGTACCTGGATGGTGAATAGTATGCTGCTTTAGCAGTCAGAAAACTGGCTGGAAGCAAACTCCAATTGGAAGTATCATTTCACTCTTTTAACCTTAGCTAAGATTCTTAGTCTTCCTCATGCATGTCTAGTTCAAGAACTGGATAGCAATTTGGATAGATTTCATACTCAGAGTCTGAGGATTCTCCTCTCTGGCTCTCTCCTTTCTGAGATTTCTCCCCTCATTTTCCAGCCTCTGTTATTGCTCCAAATTCTGTCTTCTGATTTTTTTCTAGCTAACAAGACTGCTGCTAATTTCTATTAAAATTTTAGAATGGTGTCAATTAGCTCCTGCTTCAGGCTAAAAGACTTTAAAAAAAAGAAAAAAACAGGAAATTCATCCAGTCCCATTCCCCTCCCCACCCTGCCCACATGTTGAAGCCTTCTCCACTGTCTGTCTGCTTTTGTTCACTCTCCAGTGCCTTTAAGTAGGAGTTTTAAAATGTTTTGTTGAGAATTCATAGTTATCTGTGGGAGAGTTGGCCTGTCAGGGGTCACTTAGCTATTATCAGAAGCAGAATCAGACATTGTGTATTTTACCTGAAAAGGATGTTTACTCATTGGAGATTGTTCTCTTACATAAATGCAAAGTCTTCATACATCTCACTGAGAATATTAATTTCTGAGGATTCCTAATGATTCTTTGCAGTCATTCTTTTGTGGCAGGCATTTCTTCTGAATACCCTCCAATTGTGAACTGCTAGGTACTGTAGTGATTTTGCTGTGTTTGCTGATATTATAGGGTGACAGGAAAGGTATGCCTTGTCCAATTTGACAGTTAACTCATTCTTTTGGTAATTATGAACTTAACACGTGAATACAGTTCTGCAGTGCACTTGTCTCCTTAAACCCTAGGTGAGCTCTTCCTGTAGAACTGTCTGCAACTTCACCCACAATATATACTGCACAAATTCCTCAAGGCTTCTAGAATATGAATGAGTGACTTTGTCCCCAACTTTTTAATTGACTGCTATATGTTTCCTCCTTATATTTATATTCCTTTGTCATTCCAGTGATCATTTTTCATGGATAAAGGGAGGATGGCCTTGGATCCTCATCTCTTATAAGAAGTAATTTTGATTAAATTCACTTAGAGAAATGCTTAAATACACCTTTTCTGCTAATATTCAGAGCATGGTACATAAGTAGATGAATAGTCTTTAAAATGTCTTTAAACTAAGTTTTTAATGTGCTTGAAGAGTTCATCACATGCTTTCATTTATTTGTGTCCATATATGCTGCTTAATACTACAACTTATGACTCCTTGTGGTTCTGTGGGTTGACAACTCAGCTATGTGGTTGTTGCTGGGGTTCTCTCATGCAGTTGCAGTCTGACGGCATCTGGGCTGGAGTCATTTGAGAGTTTGACTGGACTGGACAACTAAGATGATTGATTCACATGGAAGCTCATTCAAGGCTGCCCACTGGAGTGAACACATGTGTCATAACTAGGTGTTGCACTTTTCAGAGCATGAGGGTTAGGTTCCCAGAAGGACTGTTCCAAGAGCAGGTATCTCGGGGGGTGGACAGCAGCCAGGTGGGATGAAGGCTATGCTTGGAAGTGGCACAGCATCACTTCTGCCATATCCTATTGGTCAAACAGTCCACGTACCTTCATCTTTTGAGTAAAGTCATCTTTTGAACTTTGTATCACCATTCATTCATATTGTATGCACATATTTAAAATGTATGTATGCAATTCATATATATATATATATATATATATATATATATATATCAAAGTAGTAATTTCCCTTTTCCCCATTAATCAAACTAGTTTCATTTATTGTTTTTTCAGTCCTATTTTTTGTTGGGTTAACAACACTTTTTTTGAAAGTAATAAAATCGCATTTGCTTTACTATAACTCAGATGTTCCTTCATTAGGCTAACCTTCACCCACCTTAAGCTGCTCTCTGAATTTGAGATTAAATGTAGGAAATGCTTTTGTCTAACTTCCCAAATCAATTTTTAGAATGATTGGGGTGACTTACATGATATCGGCAGACCTCTTAATTGAATGTCTAGGCACACAATTCCTATTGGCAAGGGGACCTCCAGTTTCACTGAGAGGCATTCAATTAGATGGAAAACAGATGCTTATTTTTGTCTTATAAACCTCCATGCAGGTTAGGTGGTAATTACTTTGAAGAGCAGGATGACAATTTATGTAATCAGCAGGACCCTGTAATTACTAATGCATGATTTCTAAACAGCATTTAGCAAAATGAGACCCATACATACACTTTGTAATGAAAAAGATGTGTTTGACACTACACTAAATTAAATTTAAAATTTGCATATTTTCTTCCAGGAAACGCACTAGCTTCATCTGCTATAGTTTGCTTCACTAACCCCAGTCTCCTTTCAGCTGTTAAAGGATTATGGAAATGCTGAATCACAACGATGACTGAATGGGAGCATAAGAACCAGGAGTAGGGAAAGACTTCCTTCTCTATGGTCTAGGATAATATAAATCAATCTAAGAGATGACTGGAAAGTTACATCTAGGCAACTTGTTTCCACCTCGAGTTTAATATGACGGTCATACAATCACTTAATTTAGACAAAGAGGGCTGGCAGAGAACTTAAAAGTTATCTGCACTTATCTCTTTATTACAGATGGAAAAATTGAGGCCCTGTGAAATGACATGACTTGTGCAACATCAAGCAATTGGCAGTCGAATAAAGTATTTCCTCAGTTAGCCCCAGTTCTCTGTGAAATCCACTCTATTAGCCTATTCAGGTCATGCAGAGTTACCATTAGACAAATCGCGTACTACACTAGCCCCAGGAATACTGAACATTTCTGTAGCAAGTATTTTGAATAGTAGTAGGTGGAAGTAATAGTGAAAGTCAGTATGGTATCTTTTGAAGATAATTTAACTTCTACATAGTAAAAAAGTGGAGTACTAGTTATTTACGTTTTCCTTCTGAAAGACCATTGATGAAATTGTACCCCTTGATGAATTCTTACCTACAGTTCCTGAAGCCATGTCAAGAGGATTACCAGTCTCTTCTTCAAAGCTCTGGACCTGAGACACCAAAATCAATCTCATTAGATATGCTTTCATAATAAATTCACTTTATTTATTTAATCAACATATAATGAGTGCCTACTGGCTCTGGTTAAGAGAATTAAACATGATTTCTGAACTCTAAGAGCTGACAGTCTGCAGCAGGCAGGTGGTATGTACAAGGCACTCATAACAAAGAGTCAAAGAACTAAGGGAGTTAAGAAGAGAGAACAGGAAAGTCCACTTCTGGGTCGGAAGAGTAGAGGCCTTGCCTGAAAGATGTGACATTTGAACTAAACTTAAATAATAATGTTATTATTAATCTAGAATTTTTTTTTTGCTCTCAAAGAGCTTTAATTACATTTGGAGAAAGCAAGTTATTTCCCATATTTAATTTTAGCTCTTTAAGGGATTTATTTACAACTTGGTTAATTTTATGGCGAACAATTCAGAAAATACATAACTCAGTTGCTATATAAAGCTTAGAAATTTTGCTCAAAGAAAATCTGATTTCCAAATTGAGAGAGCAGAATTTATTTTACAAATTTTTTAAGGAATTAATGAATACTACTATATTGATGAGAATAAAATTATTTTTAAAACAAAATAATACATGTCTTTAAAAATAATAACAGCTATTATAGAAATTTGATAAGTATAAAAAGTTAAAGAAAGTAAGAAAACAGTTACTGTTAATATTTTGGAGTGTGTCTTTGCAGGGTTTTTTTAGATATATTTATTCTGGATATAGCAACATAGTCAATTTTTTTTCACTCAAAATTTGGAGGGAACTTTTTTCCCCACATCATAAAATTTCTTTGAAAACACTGTCTATAATGAGTGCACAACAGGCCATATTTTTAAAGTATATTAATTTACTTATTGATTCTCCTAATGTTGAAATGTTTTCTAAATTTTGCAAATAGAAATGATGCTGATATGAGTATACTTGTACATAAATCTATTTCTACATGTCATACTATTTATTTGGAATTGATGTCTGAATACTGAAAGCTGAATCAAAGGATGTAAACATTTTAAACATTGTGGTACATATGGCCAAAAATGACCTTTAACCTAGGAATAAACAGAAGACCATAAGGACATAGCTCAGCAGTGTAAGAAATATTTATTCTCTCTTTTTAATCCTTCATCTCTTTTATTTTTCAAAGAAGTTACTTTATACTTATAATTAGTTAGGCTTACTTCTTAACATTATTTTTATTAGCTCTGTAACTCAAACCAGTGTGCACCATATAAATTTTTTAGTATAATAAGAAAAAAATTTCTTTTTGCTGTGACCATCATCCTAGAGAAAAATCCACTTAGCGCAATGTAAAGTATCTATTCATCTATTAAAAAAACAGAACAAAACTAAAAAAAAAAGTCCCAATAATTTAAAATAGAAACCAGGTGTATTCTTGAGTTATGCCACCTGGGCCAAACTTATTAACAAATGAAAAATAAAGAAATAGTTATGACTTTTGAAAATTTTCCCACCTAATCAAGATGCTGATTGGCATTGTTTAATAATACGGGTAACATTCCTATGTCTGAGCTCCAGAGAGCAGGAGTCCTGTGTGTAAGCAGAGGGAAGGTTAAAGATGTTATATTGTAGATACAAAGAAGCATCCTACAAGAAGTGTCTAAATTAAACTCTGTTAATATGTTTGGGAATTAAAAAAAGAAAGAAACAGACTCAGTTTAACTAAGTAAAATTAAACACAAAAATATGTTGATTTTTGCATTAAAAATCCATGTACAACTTTGCTGGAATCATAATTTTGAGTAGTGAGCCAAACATTGCCATATTTAACCTTTAGCAGGACTGTAGGGAAAACATCATAGACTGCTCTAGAGGCAGAATCTGGCCAATCGGAGTTGGAATTCTGATAGGTAGATATTTAAATGTATTGGCTCATATTTTAAATGCCATGAAAATCTGCCAATTTCACACATATTTTTCATTTCTTATAATTAGATCTTTTAATTTGCCATTGAAAAATGACTATTAAATCTGGCATTAGGTCCTGTTTACACTGCAAACTACCCAAGCTTCATTTACTCATCCATTGGTACAGAGTGAAACAAATATTTTTCCCCCCAATCTGTGAGATGAGGATATAATATTTTAAATATATTTTTAAAGAAATCAAAATTCAATTAGTGTTTCTTTTATATCATTTTAAGGGCTTTCTCTGCATTACCTACGCATACAGACTCTTATACACACAAATCCAGGCAAATATTAAAGAAACATCACAAAGTTAGCTATGAAGTTCAACAGCATATTCTGTTTTTTCTATGGAAGCCACTCACAGACTGAATTAATATTATCACATACTTCTAATGTTAATTTACTCATTTATGAATATTTACTAAGTACCTACTGTGTGCCCCAATACACGTGAGGTTATTTAAAAAATTTTTTTTGTTGCTTTTTTGGTGTCTGAGTGTGTTCTCTTCCTACCCCTGTGTATACTAGTGTATATATATATTTATATATTTCCTTGAATAAGTATTAAGAATATTTGGAAGTGTACCATGCTAGGACTGACATTCTTTTCTTAGCTCTTTATGTTGAATATGATGATATTAATCTCCCCCTGTACTATCACATATAGATGACATACAGTGAACTTTGTTTTCCTCTAAGTCAGTCTAGTTTGAAGCAGAAGAGACAGTAAGGAGACAGTAGAGTCTAATGAGGCTTGTCAACCAGCTGGAATTTGGTGAAATTTCCTGTTTGGGTCCTGGGAAATAGATAGCAGACTGACTAATGAATTGCAGATTTCCTTAACATTCTTGATAGTAATTTAACTATTAGTTTGGTAATTAAACAATTTTTTGCAAGAGTGAGTGAAAAAATGTACTCTTTTTTTAGTGCCATCTCAGTTTATGTTCAAATCAGGGCACTTGACCAAAACTCTGTTTTTTTCCCACCCATAATTTTTATTCACTTTTATGCTACTGTTTTAAAGTCAGATTAATGTTTTAAGGCTCTTAAAACAATTTCTGACATAAGACACGTGTATACATAAATACATATACATAGATATTAGAATCATTTGCAGCTATGTATTTTGAGGCAATTTTTATCTTTGTGGAATGAGGAGAGTTAACAATAGGCATATTCACCTAACCCTCGGTCTTCTTTTGAAGTTATTGCTAAGCTTTAACATCCTACAATTTCCTTGATTCTCTCAGCCCCCTTTTCTTACTCCCCAGATACCTCAAACACGTCTCTTTAGTGACATACAAGTTAATCAGTAGAGCTGTCACTGTCCTTACCAAGCTACTGGTTCCCAGGCCTAACGCTGCCACTGCACGGTGGGTCCCCTGAGGACAGAGTCTGCGCCCTAGAGCCGATCAGAGTGTCTCACATGTAGAGGGCTCCAAGGAGAGTGGCTTGACCTTAGGATTTGCATACAAACACTCTACCCCACTTCTGAACAGTTCACATGTAAAGTGGGGGAAAAGCCCTGCTCCTCTGTACTTCCTTTGTAATTATATTTAAGAATAGAGAAACGAGTGAAAAGGTGTATATATATTTTTAAAAAGACTTTGAAGTGAAGTTGAGGGTGCCATCTAAAAGAAGGTGAAAATTAGCATGAGTGAATGAAAGTGGGATGAGGAAGCAAAGAATATGTGTGAGATGGGGGTCAAGCTATGTGAGTATCACTAAATCCCAAAGCAAGCAAACAAATAAAACATTACCAAGCCCCAAACCCAATTCTTTTGTCCAAGGCCCTGCATTAGGCATCGTGGGGGAAATATTTCTAAGATATATCCCCTTGAGGATGAAACCTGGTCCTCAAGTGGCTGACAGTCCAGCAGCAGAGATGTCATCAACATACACAGATCTCGGCTGTAACAAGCCCTCCCTGCCAGCGTTGTGAGAATACAGAGAAGGGGCGGGCAAGCTTCACTGAGCGGGAAAGTTTTCATACTAATTTAGCTATGACTGAAGCAACTAGCGTGACCTTAAATGTCTCAGACTAAACAGAAGTTTGGAACGATCAGACATAATGCTGAGGGGGTTAAAGGAGGGCTGGAAGACAAAAGATGCTCCGGTGAGAGTTATTTCCCTCAGAAGTCGAGCCCACCAGGTTACAACACTGACCTCTTCCATTTCGAAGGAGTCTGGTGTTTTGCCCGCAAGACGAGACAAGTGCTTGAGTTTGTAAGTCTGAATTGAGTTCTCCTTTCGAGTTCTGTCCTTGACTGATCCCTCAGGCTCCCAGGAAGGAGGAGCCTGCTTGGCCAGCAGGGATGAGTGAGGCCACTGGCTGCTCAGGAGAGCCTGGGGAGGATGACAAGGTGTCACATCTTCACAGGCTGGAAGAGACTGATGCTCTGCCAAAGGAGACAAACGACTTTGGTCCTGCTTGTTTGTCATGGCTGGGAACTCTGACCCGCACTCTCCTGCTTTTGCAGAGGTGATGGAAAACTCATCCTTCACCTTTAACGACTCTGCCACTTCTAGACTGTAACCCCTCTTAATGTTCTGCTTTGAACCTCTCCTGAAAAGTTCACCCATTCTTCTTTGATGCTCTTTGGCTTCACTCACTGAGGTTCTTTGCATACCCTCATCTTCCTCTTCAGCTTTGTTCTGCAGGATGTTAACGTCATTCAGCAAAGATGAGAAGGCAGTGGCCACATGGTCCAATATTTCCAGCTGTCGGAAACGGCCTGAACAATACAAGGAACACACAACTTTTAGACTGGGTCTTTTCAGTGAAACTGCATTAATGTAGTGAAGGTTGAAGAGGTTAGGTAACATGGGATTTTCAAGATGGGAAGGACTTTAAACTCTTGTAACTCAAGTTTTTCCTCAGCATATACCACTGGTTATCATGGAGGATATTTCCCTACATAATAAGATGTCACTGTGTTACAGGGAAAGCGAATGCCATTTATATTTAGTTGAATGTGCACAACTATATAGACTCACAGAGTTTTATGTGTTAATCTATAAAAACTATAGACAAGGATGAATCTTGAGTTTAACTTCATGCATTAACCTAAATGTCAGAGTGAACCCAGCTCTTTCGTATGAGGTGAGCTTGAGCATCCTTCCACTGCTCAAGACAGTAGACGTCCTCATCTCACCTCCATCAGCTCCAACTATACCCTTCACCTGAGTGTGGAAAGATCATGACACATGGAGTCAGAAGGCCTGGATCCAAATCCCAGCTCAACCAGTCACTGGAAGTGTAACCACAAAGTAAATGGATCAACAGATATAAGGTGCTTAGCACTGTGCCTGGCACAGAGTAAATGGCCAGTTTCTTCATCTGGAGAACAAGGGTGATAATACCAGCCTTATGGATCTCTCACATCTGTTGTGAAAAGCACAATGCTACATAAATATCAGTTAAAATTATAAAGGTGCACAACTCAGGAAGGGAATATACTGTCTTCAGTCTTCTAAGAGAAGTTAGTCATTACTGTGAAAACCCACTTGCCCGCCCAAACAAACCAGCTCCTCAACTTGGAAGTCTTTCTGGAGGATCTGGCTTCACTCATTTAAGTTTAGTTAGTATGTGGGCGAGATCTAATGCAGCAAGGGCTAATTTGGGGACACACTGCTACTTTGAAAAAAATGGTGAAAAATATTTTTGGTATCTCCAGATAATAAAATCACAGTAATGGAAATGGAACATTTTGTTTTTATTACACAGCCTTTTCTCAACCCCAGTGATAGCATGCAACAGTCAAAGGCCCCATTGGTGGGTAAGGTTGTTGTCCTCTGTTCTGTTGTTTGCACCATGAGAGCAATGCTACGAACTCCTCCACAAGTAAATCTTTGTGCCTACCTGCTTCCTTCACCTGAAAAGGGAAGATATTGACTATTCATCCTTTATTCCAAAAAAGATGTGGTGGACTTCTTACAAAGGACTGTGATATTCTTTCAAGACCTAGAGGAACTCTTGGGTTCCAGATGCTTTCAGAAGCATTCTGATTACATCTCCCCCTTAAATTTAGCCTTAGATATAAGCCCAAGAGCATGACTGAATCATAATTTTATGATTGTCTTAACATCCATTCTATAGCAGATTTTTTTACTTAGACTAAGACAAAACCTATCAATTTAATTGGTTCAGTCAATTCAGACAACATAATAGTGTGAAGTGTTGGATGAGGACTTTTGCTTGTTTTGCTCTGGGGTACGATGAACAATGAGCCAATTGGTTCTCATCTCTTCAAGTTTGAGCCTTTTGTACTGACTTTTCTATTCTGTCTTTCGGACAACCAACTGATTTTATTATTGCTTGTTTTACATTTGACCTTCTCAGCTTTCCTGAGTTGAAAGTGCACTGGTGAGTGTTGAGTGAGAACAATTACTGAGCACTATTAGCACAGTGCTAAGTGGTAGAAATAAGAGGGGACCAGCAGTCAGGATCAGGGGCCAACTCCCGGTTTCCCCATAATCCATGTGTCAACTTCATCTGTGAAATGTTTACTTCACTGATCAACTCAAACACTCCTCAAATATTGGTAAGTGTATTAGTCTCCCCAAATAAAGACCTGATCTAAGGTTTTGCATATCTGTGTGGCTTAGAGGAGGAGACAACAAAAAATGATATCAATTTCTTCTAAAGGCAAAGAAGAATCACATTGTGACACCTTCAGTTTTGCATACTTTAAAAAAAAATGTCATTGCTGAGATTTCTGAGACCCATTTCACCCATGTGAAGACGGGGGAAACAGAAACTAAAATGAGTCACTAAGTGAAACCTTAACTTTCTCATCTATGAGGCTTAGAACACTACTTACTCCACCAAGAGCTGTAAGTGTAGTTGTTAACCGTCATATCTTCAGATATGTGGATTATCTGTGCGTAACCTTACAGTTATCATGTATGCTGCTATTTTCCTACAACTGGTGGTCAGTGGAATACCTTCCTCTGGGTCACTACTGAGGATGTTCTTGGGGTATGTGTACGGTGTTCAAATAATTGGGGAGAAAGGGGACTTGCAGTTACACAGGTTTATTTACTGCAGGATTTGTTTAATATGCTCTTAGTCTCCTAGGTGGGATGCAGTGCAGTGGGTTCAAAATTATTGTAATACAGAACCTCTCTTAGAGGAGCACTGAAGAACATCTCCTCCGTGGAACGGAGTTTGCCGAATTCTGGACTGGGGACATGCCAAAAATCCGTTAGTGAAATACATTCTTTTAAATAAATAAATAAATTCACTGCAAGTAAAGTTAAGTGAGATGAAGTGTTTCTCAAACAAATATCTGGAACAGAGGTTTTGCTTGGATTTTTCATTTTAGTTTCTGTTTCATGGAGCAGCTCTCTCTTTCCCCCCAAATATACACCAATCGGCAGGGGACATGGAGAGTGATCCAGACATAAACTTGTTTCTGTTGGAAGCCACTGTGATACTGGGGTTGACTGCTACTGCACAGATCTCCTGGCCTTGAGACTGTGGCTCATCCGATTGCTCACTGCCATCGCTGAGATTCTGATGTCACGTGGTTCTCACTTACTGTACAAGTTAGGGTTCTCAAGGTCCGTCCGCTGCTTTTGAGCTTCAAGAAAAACACGGATGTTGATTCCTCTGGCTGCTGAGCCACAACCCAGGAATCTGGCTGGGATTTGTGTGCAGATGTCCGGCTCGTCAGCACCAAACCCCAGATCCAAGAGAATCTCCACTGGATCTTTTTCCCCAAATTCCAGCCATTCAGGAATGCTGTGGTAAAAATATGAATATCTTTATCCAGTTCACTTAACCAAAAGCCATTTTTTCCTAGTCACTTCACCCGCCCAATCTTCCAGAAATTGAACAAAAGAGGAGCCTGAATTGACAAAGAGATGGTGCACTTACTAGAGCTCATATATACTTACTTAAAGGACAGTCCATCACTGCCACTTAGGGACTGTTTGCTTCTACTTTACAATGAGTTTACTCAACTGGTTTTCCATTTCACAACAGGCCAATGTTAAATTAAATAGGGCAGGGAGACTGTGGGAGAGAAGCCAGAGGCAGTGCACTGATAACCACAAAAAAAAGTAATTGATGGCAATATGAAACAGAAAAAAAAATTACCCTGAAAACAGCAGACTAAAGACAGACTATTTAAAAAGAGTATGAGTCTGGTGCATCTTCAGTCACACAAATTTGTTGAGAGCATCACTAAATTGAGACTACAAGCACTAATGTTCACAAATAATCATTTTGTAAGTCCCTAGGTCGGGTTAAAGCATGTTCTGTAATTTTTTGGACTTGGCTGAGAAACAAAACTGCTTTTGTTTTCTTCAGTGTTGGCACTTAAAACAATACCCTTCAGTTACCTGGAAATTATTTTTATGTATACCAACTCACTTCCCCATCACTGAACTTCTCCTCAGTGACTGTGCTAATGACCCTTTAAACCTCATGGACTCCATGGGAATCGGGACTTTTAATGAGGTTTTCCTAGATTTGCTTGGTTCTTCTGTTAAAGTTTCTGTTTATCTTTCTCTACATGCAACAGTAGGGAGCTTATTTGAGATAGCTTGGATAATTTTACTTTCATGACGCTGCCATTTAAATTGGATTAGTTAAAATTCATTTATTTAGCCACTCAGACAGTCAACAACCTATACAGTCTCACTGGGCAGGCTCACTTATCCGACACCACCCAACGTCACGTTCACAATCTCTTACGTGACACAGAGATCTCAGGCTTTTCCTCCTGATTTGACCAAGGAAGAAATGATAAGCCAAGAACTCCTACTATGGGGCTTACATGGCTCAGCTTGGATATCTTAATCTTTGGAAAGAACTGACGAACAGGGGCTGCCAATCACTTGATACCATAATACAAGAGAGGTTCGAGGGAGAAAAAATACCTCTTATGAAAAACCTAAATTGTGAATGAAAGATTTAATCTGTTATCTTATTGACCTCATGTACAAATTTTTAGCCGACCCATTCACACAAATGTTTCTTGAACATCTGCCATGTTCTAGGCTCTCTGCTAGACATCCAAGGCGCAAAAAGGAGCAAAAACATAGTCTTGCTTTCCAAAGGCTCACATTCTCATAGCCAAGAATATAATTATTGATTGACTTGTCATTAAAGTATTTCCAATATCATCACCTCTTTTTAATCTGTATTTAACCACGTAAGAAATACATAAAATACACACACCTTGTTAACACCTGTAATACCCTACATAAGAGTTGATCTCCCCATGGCCGTTTTCCCTGCTAATCCTGACTCCGTTCTTACTGAATTTATGTGTATCCTTCCAGACATTTTTCTATGTAGTTACATATATGCTTTATAGTCTTCACTTGTTGGCTTTGTAAATAGTAACATACTCTATGTATCTTTTTGCAGCTTGTTCTTTTTTTCCTTCAAATGTGACTTGGAGATCATTCCAAGTTTGTATGGTTATCGCTACTTACTCTGGGTATGACTGTATCGAATTCCATAAAAATGGGTGGGCCAGTAGTTGATTTGGCCATTTCCCCACTGGCAGATATTTAGCCCATTTTCACTGATTTATATTGTTCTTGCAAGTTGGAGTTCTGAAATCATATATTCATTCTTTCATCCACCCATTGAACAAGCATTTCTCAAGTGCCTATTTATAATTTCATCAAATCTGTTGTCACACAGAATGATTTCTCTGAATGAAAAGTGCCTGGACATCACATACCTTTGTGGTATACTGGCAGCAGAATGGCAAGAGTTGAAACTGGTCCCTCTGGATAGAGCGGGAGTTTCAGAAAACTGATGCAGAGATCTGCAGTTGGGGAAAATATCACCGATGAGGTGTGTTGATTTAGATAGTCGCCTGGGAGGTCACTGTGTCTCGTTCCCTTGCAGAGCAAACATCTGCATTTCCTCTTCATTACTAATAATCTCATAATGGCCACAACCTTGGAAGAAGAGAGAGCACACAGCAGAGGAACTGCTCCTCTTGTCAAGAGTGTTGTGTTACAGAAGGTGTGACAATTTAAGTGTTAGGTGCCCACTAGTGCTCATTATAAAGGTGACAGAATGTCTCACTTCTGACAGATGGCAAATCATTGGGGAACCTTTCAGGAATACAGCTTTGCTAGGCATCAACGTTCGGGAAGAAGTTAAAATTGTGTGATGGAAGAGGTACAGCAAGCAGCCACCGAAGCGACACTACATTAGTTCTCACAGCGGCGGGGGGCTTCATACGGCACGGTTAACGCGCTCCGAGTGCTGTCTGCAGGGCTCCGTGGCCATCCACATGCGACAGCAGCAAAGTCCTTTACTACCGCAAGAACCAGTCTCTCTATCCAAATAGGCCTGCAGTGCGAGTCATCTGAAAGAGCTTCTGAACACAATGAAACTCTGTTGCAACATAGTTCACTTTTATATAGCTCAGATATACCATAACACATCTAGCCTCATCACATGTAACAGCACTTTGGCACAAAATTGGAATTTACCAAGAATACAATGTTGATATCAGTTTCCCAAGGAGATCGAGTCACCTTACACAGGCTCCTGAATTTGCCATAGTCCTGTCCACATTAGGTAAGAATAGCTGGGCCCTGCCTCTTCTTTGTTCAATTACTTCTCTGTATTAAGGTGGAGAAAGTGCATGTTTCGGGATAATAAAGACTGTTTTAACAGATGATTGAGCTTGCTGGGAGTCTTGAAGACAGGCAGAAGATAACTTTCACTTACTGGTTCCCCTCAGTTTGCACTAGGCCTGCCATAATTTCTGTTTCACTCTGTGTTTGAGATTCACACCTTGTTTTGTAATGTTCAGCAGAGCTAGCCAGAGACTGCCCCGACCTCAGATCCAGAGAATCCGTGTGCAGTCACGGTTCTAATCCTGACGTAGCAGCACAGGTGAGTCATTGACCTTGGCTCTCCCTTTTCCTCTTCAACAAAAGAGAGAGTTGCTTGAGAGATTTCTGGGGTCCCTATGGCTTTAAGATTCTGTAAGGAGCAAAGACAACTAATCTTCTAAGAGGGAAAAACTATGACAAAGCAGCATTTTAGGTGTTGGAGGGATACAGTATTGAATACCTGGTTTGCAACAAGCTTGAAATGCAAGAGCAGCTAGAGCACGGGAAGCAGAGCTCCCAGCCTCAGGAAGCTCACGGTCTAGTCCAGGCTTCTTAAACTAGAGTGTGCCTCAGAATGCTGAAGGGCTTGCAAAAACAGGTTTCGACGTCCAGATTTTCTGATGCAGCGTGACTAGGGTGGGGCTTAGAAACTTATAATTCTATGACATTCCCAGGAGCTGCTGCTGTGCTGTTTGGGACCACTTTGAGACCTAGTCTAGCCTCATATTAGGAGACCCTCACTGCTTTCTACACAACATTGGAAACTGCAGGATTATTGTCCAGCAAATAGCATGATGATTAATAACATCGGCAATATGAAGCTATGAATGCAACTATTTTATGAACAGGTCCTCAGGAATACATTTTAACTACATTTCCGGCCCAAGTCAGTATTTGTTGATTTAATTTGCTCATTCCTTTACGACAGTTAAAGACCCTCTATTTCTCTCAAGGCTAGTGGAAACAGTCCAGGCACTGTGGCTAAACCAGTGACAAGATCCTAAGATCCATGGCCTTTTTAAAAGACCTCCTCACTCCCATTTCATTCATGAAAGATGCAGCTGTCAAATACTGCAGTGAAAGAACAGTGATTCCGCCACCTACCTCATGTAGCCTTTCACAGTCATCTGAACCACTCCTTGCTCATGAGCAGGAACTGCAACGGAAAAAAAAAGGGGAGATGAACTTAACTTCCTTTTTTCTCATGGAAGATTTTCTCACCCTTGTATTAAGCAGCATGAGACTGATTTCCATATCTGAGATTGTGTAGGCATGAGATACAAGGCATCTCTGCAGGGAACAAGACAATGTAATTAATGGCGAAATTGTGTGACAAGCACTTGAAGAAACGTGGCACTTGCTCAGTGGAGAGGGAAGTCAGTGGGAAATGAAGTAGTCAGCAAAGGTTTTGTGGAGGAAGCAGTATTTATCGTGGATTTTTAAGAATGGGGACAATTTGATAGATGGAAAAGGGGTGTTACCATGAAAGAAGATTGTCTACAGCAAGAGCCAAGCACAGTGATAGGGCTAGTCCAGTTAGATCACAGGGAATTTTGGAATACTCTCCCTTGGTACAGAAGGTTGAGATGCACGGGTGGAGACAGACAAAAGAATAAGGACCCCACATTTATTCAGCATCTTCCATTAATTTATATCACCTAATCCTTACAAGAGTCTTATAATTTAGGACCTACTCATTTTTCAGATAAGGAAATTGAGTCTCACAGAAGAAGTTGAGTAATGAGCCCATGATCACACAGTCAAAAGTAGCAGATCCTGGACTTTATCATTACCTTTATTATTGATTATAACAATAATAGTTACTATTTATTTGACATTAACTTTATGTTAAACAATGTCCTAAGCATTTTACATGCACAGTGTCTTCTAATTTTCACAACAAATCCATGAAATAGATGTTATTCACTCCTACTTAATAGAGAAGCAAACTGAGGCTCAGATTAAATAAATTTCCTGTGGTCAGTAGGGTGCCACAGCTTATTTTTATTTGTTGCTCTTATTTCCTTTCAAAACACCACACTGTCAACAGATTGTCTTGTAATTTGTTTGAAAGCCAGAAAGAGGAGTTTATATATGTATGTGTCAAGACATAGAAAACCATGAAAAGTTTTTGAGCAAACAAATGTGAGAAAGATAATGTTGAAAGTCCTTTTGCTTGGTTAGTGGTGCTGAGGACAGAAGAGAAGAGTGAATATGGGATGCCAGAGAGGCCCATTCAGGGGCAGATGCATTCCTTAGAACCTGTGCCATGATGTAACTGCAGCAGGAGGAAGTGCTCAGAATACAGGCAAGTTACTCAGGAAGTTCCTCCGTCTTCCCATTTCCTCGCGCTGTAGCTCTCCTGGGTGCAAACGTGTGACACGTATCAAACTGGAAGTATAATCACCCAGCACTTCTATGGGAATGTGAAGTTCTTCACCGTAAGAACTACAAACGCAGGTTGGGAGAAATTTTGGAAAAACAAACCTAAGTGACAACATATAAAAAACGGAAATGAATAAACGGCTCTTCAGCCTGGAGCCAGAGTTCTTGTCTAGAGTAGGGGGCCTGCGAATAGATCTCAAGGGATCTGTGAACTTGTCTCCAAATGCCGAACTTTATTGGGGTGGAGTTAAGAATGCTCATAGTTTTCAGCTTTTTTTTTTAAGGCTCTGTGACCATGATGAATGGAAAAGGACAACTTATCTAGAAAGATAAGGACTAGAGGTATATTACTGAGGTGTAAGAAAACAGTGGATTCTTAATTAAGCCCAGAAGGCACAATTACCATTTAGAAAGGTAGTGAGAGAACAGATACAATGAAGGCTGCCCTACAAAACAAATGGAATTCTGTCACCACAAGAGTTATACAGGGTGAAAAACATTAATCTATGATAGAAGTTTAAAAATGAAGTGTGTATATATATAGCTTCCACGCTACCACTCTCAACCTCGTTCTTATATCAGACATCATTAATCAATTACATCACTTTCTCAAGCCTGGATAGGTTCTCAAGATTGTCAAGAATTGAATGAGACGGAGCTTTTTGCCAACCTTTGCTTAGAATAAACTTCATGAATTGGTTTTTGAGAAAAACAGGGTAATTTGCGGGTACATATCTAAACTTTAGAAATTGCTAACTGGATAAAAAAAAAACTACTTCATAAAACACTATAGGGAGTCCCTGCCAAGGATGGAATAACAAGGTGAATGATCATTATTATGATACAAATGTGACATTTCTTGAGTGCCCTATGGGACATTAGGTGACAATTATTCATATAAGTTAAAATATCTGACTCAAACTTATGCACCAAGTAAGAAATGAACTTAGAATCCAAACTCCAGTCTTTTTTGTCTGTTACATCAGTGGTTTTAAAACTGTGAGTTTTAGCAGAGGAATTCTTTCACAAATTTCTAATAATTTAATAGATAAAATGCGAGCTGTCCTGGACAGAGTGGTCTCCCATTTAGCTGTTCATTCTGTGAGGCACCTCCAAGATCCAGAGTTTGAAAAACACCGTCTATTGGACACCAAATCTCTCACCTAGGCGGGCATTGCTAATCCACTGCACCTCTCTTGCTCAACTGAACTCAGTCTCAGTGTCTCAAATCATAAAGTCACTGCCAATTGATCTGAAGCCGTCATGTGCGAGAAAGCCTATTTGCTACTTCATTAGTCATAAAGTTATAGATGCAAGCATAGTATAACTTTTTGGCAGTCATGTTGTAATGACTTGATGAACTAAATAATAGGTTGCCCCAAAATGGAAGATAAAATAAATATTTATCACTTTAAGCAGTTTTGTTCTATTTCTCCCTGCCCTCTTCCTGCTACCACCACCTCTACCTATTGTTCTGCATGTATCTCACAAAGGCAGGCTCCATTTGTTCCTCTGTAGCTCATCCAGAGAATTCTGGAGCTTCTGAGCAGCTCTTCTTGCATAAAATATTCTGAGATTTGGGGACATTTGGCTTCATATTCTGCAGGCACCACCACTCTTGCCTCTGCCTCAGTCTTTTCTAGTTGTCTGCCATTGCCCTGAATTTCCTAGAACACATGAATGAATGTTTACATCCAGGCCAGAGCTCTGGCATTGTGGCCACAGTAAATTGCTCAAACTGTCAGAGAGGAAATGATCCATTTTCAGATACTGATGAAAAGAGTTAGCTCAGCCTTGTTGAGTTTTCAAAAACCTTAGCCCCGAAGAAAATCTGGTCATCCAGAAAATTCCACATCCTTTCACTCAGGGCTTCTTCACGGGTTCCAGTGCTCACACAGATCTGGCAGCCACGTTCCCTGGACCACACCCCGCAGCTCTGCCATCCAGGTTCAGGAGCAATCTGGTTGCCAGGAAACCAAAGGCAGCCCTGAAGGGGAAAAGGAGCCCCTAAAAGAAACGTATTTTCTAGGAAATGTGCAAAGTGGACCCAGCAAGTTTACAGTGGGGGGATTTTCTAGTCTGATGACACACATGAAAGCCTGATGCAGTTCTAGCATCAGCGCAGGGTAGGACCTTTCACCTTACAGTTCCCGGTAAGGCCAGCCACCACTGACAATTAGGGACTGGGCAGGATGTTTGATTCCCCCCTCCCCCGAATCCCATTCACATTGATATACAGATACAGCTTTTACATCTTTTGTTAGACTCTTCACACTCTTTCTTCTTGATCTTGTTTAAAATGACACAAATGTCTGTCTCTATCCAATACATTCAGACACATAGCCTTCACTGCTGCCAAGCTTAAGTTTTGGAGAAAATGAAGCCAGGGAAAATTGGTATCATTTTTTTAAACTCACAAGATAAGCCTGATTTTTAAAACATAATAAAATTACAAAAAAATCAATTAGCTGCACTGTTTCATTTCCATTGTGCATTTCCTGGGCTCCCTGGGTCCTGGGAGAGGAAGGGGCATTTTCACTGTTACTATGTGTTCACTTCCTGATGACCGTGGAGGCAGCAACTGGCTTTTCCGGTGTTCGGACCCAGACAGTTAAGAGTCTTGCACAGGACAGTGTGAAACTATTATTCCTTGCCTGTTCGACAGTTCTTTAGTTTTAGTTTTGTTTTTATTTTCCACTGTGCTAATTCGTAAGGTAAACTTCCTGGTACCTGAAAACGGGCTTATCAGGGTCAGGTCCTTGCTTGTTTGCCTGTTTTCAATAACGAGCCTGAAGTTGATAGCTTAGTTCTCAGCAGCAGTGGAATTCCTAGACTTTCCTTATAACCCAGAAGATCCAGTAGCCCCGGCACACGTCTCTTCAGGGCAGCATCTGTTGAAGGTAACAGGCTCTGCAATTCTCTGCCGTCTCTCCCCACCTGCTTGGTTCATTAGCACTTACCTGCCTGGCTCCTGGAAGCATCTGAGTCTGCTACCTCTAGTTAGAGCAAGATTTGGACACCTAGGGAATGCCGTCATGGGACAAACAAACTCCTCCCATTACCCTGGATTTCCCCAAGCTTCTGCAGGTAAAAGGTGGGACCCTTACAGATGGGCCTGTGTTCACCACATAAGCCCTGCCTACCAGGCCTCCTCAGTTCCACACTGGCTTCTCTAGGTGCTTGGCTTTGATATTTTCTCCATTTCTTTGTCCTTCCAAGATAGTACTCGTATTGGGTTTTTAAAACCAGATTTTACTCTCTGAAACCACTGAGAGAAGAAAGAAAGAAAAAAATAATGTCCTCCTATCCTCAAATTTCCTGAAGGTCGGTCTGAAGTAGAATTAAAGTGAGAAAAAAAATTCCCCCCCCCTGCTCTACTCAATACATCCCATTGCATGGGTTAAAATGCCTGTTCTGGTTCCCTTTTAGACACTTGAGTCTCCAGCCACCCTCCCTACTGTTAGGTGGACTTCTGCCATCTGAAGCAGCAGACACTGCACTTAACCCTGCAAAATGTATTACTGGAGAAGACGTAGTGAGATATGCAGAAGGCACTAATTAGCACCTTTATTGGCTTAGAAAGCATTTTTTATTTTGGTTTTCCTAAGCATTTCTGACTGATTCATGGAAGACATTTGGTTCTTTGGAATATCGTCCAATAGACTAATCAAATTACATTTTCACAGGGCTCTAAAATAATAGCATTCTGCAGCTTTCTGTACATTTAACTCCTGCATGATCAGGACACTTGGTAGAGGCAGTCATCAGAGT